GTGACCTTTCATCAAGAGAATTAATTGCAATTCATATGCTTTGGTAGATTCGCGTCGAAAACGAGACTTCAAGGAAGAACAGAGAAATATGTGGCCGGGTTTACGCGCATGGAACAGAATCACAATTTTTAAAAATTTCATAATTCCATAAAGATTCACAACCCTCTCGAGTAAAAAAAAAAATTCTCTTTCACAACGCAGCTGCATTGGTTCAGGTTATAAGCGTATGTAGTCACTGTGCAAAGTACTTCCCACGTCCCTTCAACACTGTTGGTGTCCCTACACCCAAAATGCGGTTCAAGAAGGCGACTCAGCACCACCTTCGGCAGGGCAAAGAGGGATGGACAATAAATGCAACGCCCACGTTGCATGAATCGATTTTTTAATAATTAAAAACCACGAAGTCTAAGTCGTAAATTAGGATTTTGTGGCATTCGAACGACTATCGTCTTTTAAACTCGGGATGGGGCAGGGAGGGTTTTTTTTATTTAAACAAATGAGAATGAGACGTTCGCACTTGGTTGTTTGGGGGGGGGGGGTGAATTTCCAGGTGAGAAAGGCTATATTTTTCCTACGCACCGGGCACTCCAGGGTTAATGGAAAGTGAAGTGAATTGTAAGAAGTTGGTTACCTAGGGAACGATTCTTGCCGTTCCATCTGGGCGAGACCAACTGCCGTCTGAAACGGCGGGGGGAGTCCGAGTGCAGAAGGCAACGCTGCTTCAACTCTCACATCATTTATGCTTCCCTGTCAAACGAAAGCGAACGCGTCACCACAGCAGGTCAGGCCGTTCCTGAGCCGAACAGGAGGTTTGCGTTCTGGCAGCGCGATTCCCCTGCTGCTTTTAATTTCCGGGGACACCCCCGCGATGGAAAATGCTGCGCGCCTGCCAAGTGGGTTTGAAAAGATCAGACAAAGGCCGCAGGAAGCCCTCGGGCTGCAGGCGTGAGACTGAGAGCGAGGAGCTCCGATGGAGGAGGACGACGAGGGGGTGGGTGCATTCGTTCAAAAGGAACAACTCCGCGGCCTCTACTTTTTAATCCCCCCTCCTTCCTCCTCGTCCCGCGATTTAAAGTAATACAAGCCTGGGTGGGGAATGCATCGGCAGTCGTGCCTTTGGGCTGAGAGCCCAGAGTTTTAAAGCTGCTTTTCTGATGCGCCGAAGGGTTTGGCAGTTTGAATCCGACTGCGCAACGAGCAGCAGCAGCAGGATCACGTGACGCAGTCCCGGGGATCGCGAATTGATCGATTGGCCCAAAAAAAATAGGGAGAGACTGAGACACAGAGAGGGAGAGAGAGAAAGGGAGAGAGGCCAGTGGGAAATCGGGTCAAAAAAATATGGAGACGCACATCTCCTGTCTCTTCCCGGAGATTTTAGCCATGATCTTCAGTTATCTGGATGTGCGGGACAAAGGGCGAGCGGCACAAGTGTGCGCGGCCTGGAGGGACGCTGCTTACCACAAATCCGTCTGGAGGGGGGTCGAAGCCAAGTTGCATCTGAGGAGAGCCAACCCTTCCCTGTTCCCCAGCCTGCAGGCCAGGGGCATCAGGCGGGTGCAGATCCTCAGCCTGCGCCGCAGCCTCAGCTATGTGATCCAGGGCATGCCCAACATCGAGAGCCTCAACCTCAGCGGCTGCTACAACTTGACAGACATCGGCCTGGGACACGCGTTCGTGCAGGAGATCCCGTCCCTCAACGTGCTGAACCTGAGCCTCTGCAAACAGATCACCGACAGCAGCCTGGGCAGAATCGCGCAGTACCTCAAGAACCTGGAGGTGCTGGAGCTGGGGGGCTGCAGCAACATCACCAACACGGGCCTTCTGCTCATTGCCTGGGGCTTGCACAGACTCAAGAGCCTAAATTTGAGGAGCTGCCGGCATGTCTCGGATGTCGGCATCGGCCATTTGGCAGGCATGACCAGGAGCGCTGCGGAAGGCTGCTTAAACCTGGAGTATCTGACTTTACAGGACTGCCAGAAACTCTCGGATCTTTCCTTAAAACACATCTCCAAAGGCCTGACCAAGCTCAAGGTTCTCAACCTGAGTTTCTGCGGTGGGATTTCAGACGCGGGTATGTTGCACCTATCACACATGACCAGTTTGTGGAGTCTCAACCTGAGGTCCTGCGACAACATCAGCGATACTGGCATCATGCATTTGGCCATGGGTAGCTTGAGACTGACTGGTTTGGACGTTTCCTTTTGTGACAAGATAGGTGACCAGAGCTTGGCTTACATTGCTCAAGGCTTGTTTCAGCTCAAGTCGCTTTCCCTCTGCTCTTGCCACATAAGTGATGACGGCATCAACAAAATGGCCCGGCAGATGCACGAATTGAGGACCCTAAATATCGGCCAGTGTGTAAGGATTACAGACAAAGGACTGGAGCTCATAGCTGACCACTTGACCCAGCTCACTGGCATTGATCTTTACGGCTGCACAAAAATCACCAAAAGGGGATTGGAAAGAATAACGCAACTTCCCTGCCTGAAAGTTCTTAACTTGGGACTCTGGCAGATGACTGAAAGTGAAAAAGTAAGGTGAAAAATTTTGTTTAAAACAAACACTTAAGAATCGCCTCCATTGCTGTCAAAACAGGAGTATTCTGTTGTTTTTATTCCTCCAAAAATTATGACTTTTAAAAAGTGATGTTCGTTTTGTTGTAACTTACACGGCAAATTATTTCCACACTGTGCTATCAAATAAGTTGCAGTACAGTATTCCCATCCTTCAACATGGCTTTCA